ATTTTGGAAATCCGGAAAGTTAGGGGCGAGAATATTGGAAATTTTGGAATTGAGTTTGTGAGGGCTGATCGCCACCCATCCGATGACACACCATGCACATCTACTCAGTTGAGAGGGCATGGTCTGTCAACGGGGGGGGGGGCGACCATATATATATATATATACACATAAATGAATACGACGAGAAACCTTTGTGTATAGTGTGACTCGGCTCTGGTGCTCCAAGGAGTTTAGGGAGTTTGGACGACCACCCCAACCCCCCAAACTCCCTAAACTCATAGATGCCTTAAACTCCCTAAACTCTCGAGGGGAGTTTAGGGAGTTTGGGGGGTTTGCTGGGAGGGTTCCGCCATTCTCGGATTCGCTCTGCCTTTCTTGTGTCTTGTCTCTTACTTCCTTGTCTTCTTCCAAGAAGGGAGGCAGTCCATCTCATCTCTTCGTTTCTGTTCTCTGTTCCTTCCTTAGGTTTTTACAGAAACTAGTGCGGAAATAGGAGAGGGGGGCAGAGAGGGAGAGAGCGAGAGCGACAGCGAGAAAGGGAGAGAGAGAGGTCTGAAGTTGGGTTGCAGCAATCCAGACTGTTTAAGTCATGCAAGCCCTACATATTACGCGAACCAGCACTGGCTTCTGTCGGGAGTCTACAAACCAGTGACGGCCGCTTGGAAATGCCGGTGGGTCAGGTAGTATGCCACCACAATAGCACAGCAGGCATTGTGTAGTATAGCTTCTTTTTGCTTCTAAAAGGCTTACACCGAATGTTGCACGTGTAGGTTGGATATACGTTGTCTTGTTGTATACAAGAGCGAGAGAGAGAGAGAGAGAGAGAGAGAGAGAGAGAGACAGAGAGAGTCATATCATGCATAAAGGTTCCTGCCTCATTTACGAGTAATATGTATATATATATATATATATAATAGAGATATAAAGCGTCGACAGATACTTCTGACCACCCATGAACCCTCAAGCGCCTGGGAACTGATCTCCTAACCCACGCTCTGTAGCCCTAAACTCCAAGCAATCCCTAGCGAGCGTCATCTTCGACGGGCGCGGTACCGATTTTGAATTGCAGTCGCAAAGGCCTCGGATTCAAAGGTACGAGAAGACAACGCACTGCCAGGGACTGAGAGATTAGGGTTTGCGGTGTAGGGTTTACGGGAATCAAGTGGTCTAGTGGCACTAGTGGCTCAACGAACAACGTAAATTCTAGTCAAACACGACGGGTGCTGGTGTTTACTGTTCAGAATCTCGAGCGGGTATGTGACCATCTGTGCATTTAGGCTGCACAGCAACTCTAAGTAATGGGGCATCAAGACTTGGGTGGCGTGTTACGCCGACACAAAAAACGATCCTTGCGAACCCTTTGCTGTAGCCGGCTATCCCTGAAATTCGGAAACCTACAGCCTTTCCCAAATAAGCGGCCGCTCGTTCAGTAAAGGCAAGATGTCGGTGGCCGTCATGTGCGCCGTCGGCTTGTTCCCAACCTGAAGCCCGCAGCAGCTCAACTAAGAGAAGCGTCCGGCAGACTCATGGTCAATACGAGTAGCTGATATCACTGATAAAAATGATAAAACGACCGAAATATAAGATACTTCTTTTCATGGCACCCCCACAAAAGCCTGCACACAGCCCCAACACATTTCGGTCAAACAGAATCGCTCAGCACGATCGGCCGAACTCAGAAAATCATTGCTCGGGCCCGTATACAACTCCTGCTGACCAAAACCTCAAGCCCTCGAAGCCTTTTTTCTAAACCCTAAAACCCGTTTGCAGCAGGCTTCTCCCGCCTTTTTACACCTGGACTACGCATAAAGCCCTAAACCTTGAAACCCTGAAGCCTCAACCCTAAATCCTTAAGTCCCTTGCAGTACCCTTATAGAAACCCTTATAGATCCTTTTAAGGGCCCTATAATTTAAAGAACTACTTGTACCCATGGGTAGTTCTCTAAAATAGGGTCCCTTTTAGGGTCTTTTTTTTTATAAGGGTGCCGTACTATGTTGGGGAGCCCAAAAGGGGCCCTAATTTAGTGAACTACCTTTGCAGGACCATTGTAGAAACCTTTTTTAAGGGGCCCTAATTTAGAATTTAGAGAACTACCCTTGTAGCATCCTTATAGAAACCCTTATAGAACTCCCTAAACCCTAAACCCTAGAAGCCCTTTTTTGCATCAGGACTTGTGCAATCGCCTGAATGTTTTAGGGTCCTAAACCCTAAAAGCCCTAAACCCTAAAAGCCTTAAGCCCTAAAAGCCTAAACCCCAAAAGCCCTAAACCCTAAAAGCCCTAAACCCATGTTTCAAACCGCAGGTTTCAGGCACCGCCAGGATCTCCGCGCCCTCGCGCATGCGCTGGCGCTCCCAAAAGTCTTTCCGCTCGCGGCGGACCTGGCGGTCTTGGCGATTTTGCTTGTTTAGGGGTTATATGATATGATATGAGATATATATATATATGTATATATGTATATGATCGTTTATTAAGGGTTTAGGGGTTAGGGTTTCGACTCACACACTCGCAACTGCATGCATGGCAATAAGTGTTCGAGCTTGCTACGTGGATATGCCAGGCTGTCACGACAGAGAGTTAAGCCGCACCAGCGAGGAAGCAGCAGGACAAATAGGAACATATACGTAAACTATCATCATTACGACTCTCGATGCCTGTAGCACTGGTCATCCACACGTCTAGTTGAAGTGGCAGCAGATGCTGCCATACTATTTCAAAATAGTGCCTCCAAGCATTGGGAAGTCCAGCACTGTAAGGCACTAGCCATCGACAGTTCGCCTAACAGCAAGTGCAAATTCGGTCCTCAGTCTGTACTGCAACTCATTCGACGATCTGGCTCTCACTGATTCTGGACATGCAACATCCGTCATGCATCTTCGCGGTCACGGTCACAACCCATGCAGTAAATAAGGCCCGGCAAAATGCCGTCAGCCCTTTCTCTCTGTCTTGCAACTTCCAAGCACAATCAATTCCATGCTGCAGCTGTCATCGAGTCTGCATGATCAGATCAGGGTTTAGGGTTTAGGGTTTAGGGGTTTATGGGTTTAGGGGTTTAGGAGTTAAGGGCTTAAGGTTCCTTTTGAACAAGTTCCTTTGCAAGGTTCCCTCAAAAGGGTGGCCAGAGGGGTTCAGTGATATAGAGGCCTTACAAGAAGAGAGTTGTGAAAAGTGTTGTGAAGGCTGTGTGATCTTTCTAAGCCAGCAGAAGACACCTTGCTAAAGCCGTATGCAGAGGGGATGCGAGCAGAAGCGGAAACTATGGCCGTTGAAGAGGAATGCGGGAAAATACGGGGTTGTGGGGAGGTCGGGGCCGAGGCCCTTAATGGGGTTTTAGGGTTTAGGGTTTAGGGCTTAGGGTTTTAGGGTTTAGGGTTTAGGGACTTCACCCTAAACCTTGCAAGAACCCCCCAATGGCCCTTTAATAGAGCCCTTATGGTCCCTAACAGTAGGCATCTTTTGGGGGATAATAGAGGGTAGTTAGGGGGTCTAGGTAGCAGGCTTCAAGAGAAGCTTAGGCTGCTTTTGGCTACACCTATAGTCTCCATTGTAGTTCCTTTTTTTGGTTTAACCAAATATTTATTAAGGGTGTAGGGTTTAGGGTTTAGGGTTTAAGGATTTTTATAAGGTATCCCCCAAAAGGAAATACAATGGAGACTGCAGGCAGACCCTCATTGCGGCTTAGAACTTCGAAGGGCGACTGTAGACCTTCAGGCTTTCGGAGCTTCGTGTGGGGTTTAGGGTTTAGGGTCTAAGGTTTGGGGCTTAGGGTTGAAGGTCTGGGGCTTAGGGTTTAAGGTTTGGGGTTTAGGGTTTGGGGCTTAAGGTTTGGGTGTTAGGGTCTAGGGTTTAGGGTTCAGGCTCAAGAGGAGCTTCGGTTTTGAGCTTGAGCATGAATGTTTGCCAAACAGAGGGCAGGAGGAGGGGGCTTGGGGGGGAGCTTAAGGCTTAGGGTTTCGACTCTCACTCTCGCACGCAACTGGCAGGGCTCAACAGATGTTTAGGGTTTAGGGTTTAGGGTAGGTTGCCTTAACCCCAAAAAAATCGGTCAAGGTAGTCTTTGAACAGCCCTTCGTGTAGTGTAATCACAGGGCCTGGGGTCTTTAACGTAGTCGTGGACGGGTATTATATTGTTTGTCATTTTCAGGGTTGCCACGAACTCAATTAAGGATTGTAGCATACCAGCTCATTCCGTTAAACCATTACATATGGTTCTCCTGTTGTTGGGGTGTTGTGTATCGGCGTTTAGGGGTTCAGGGGTGTAGGATTTAGGGTTTGGGGTTTGAGTCGCAAGCCCAAGCAAGCACGGCGCTTGAGGGGTTTAAGGGCTTAATGTCCAAGATCTGGCAGCCAAATGCAAAACCACGAGGCATTGCGTTGGAATGAACTCGCCGCCGGGCTGTACGCTTCAGGGTTTTGTGTGGGGAGAGAACAGAGTACTGAATGCTTGCTCTTGCTCTCTGTAATTAGACATACGGTGTACGAATCTCTATTACGGTTCTGCGAACATGCATACGCCTTGCGCCTTGCGCTTGGATGTCGACCATGCGCCCGAAGACTCAACATCCACCTTCATTGAAGGGATGCATGATATTCGGTGCAGGCACACGCTGGCAGCATGAACACAAAAACGGGCTGTAAGGTCAGAGTTTGGGGTTCCGGCACGGTATCCTTGGGAGTTCACCGGCAGGAACTGCCCGGCTTCACAAGCCGAGGCTCCGTCCGGAATCAGTGGGTTGAGGATTTAGGGTTGAGGGAAAGACAACCCTACAAGCCCTAAGGCACGACAAGCTCATCTAGACCGTGAGCCCTAGCTGCTTCTTTCATGGTGGCTCAGTTGCTTTAGTGGTCGGATCCCCCGAAAGACCGTAGAACGCAGAGCGCCGTCACTGTGAGCCTTAGAACCCAGCACCTCTGCAAACCCTCACCCCTCAACCCTAAACCAATGTTCAGCACGGACTGAGGTGCAACCCAGCACCTATCCGACCCTCACAACCCTAAATCCTAAACCCTCAAGAAACTAAACCCAAGACCCTCAATCCTAAACCGGCGTAAAGCCCTAAACCCTAAACCCCTAAACGCTAAACCCTAAACCCCAAAACCCCAAACTCAAAACTCTAAACCCTTGACCCTCAATCCTAAATCCTAAACCCTCAGCTCTAAACCCTAAACCCTCAATCCTAACGCCCAAACCCTTGCAACTGAGAGTCCGCTTCGTCTTTTTGAGTTGAATAGGAAGCCTTCCACTCAGATCGAAGCTTTTTCCAGGCCCAAAGGGTCCAAGTACCATTATAGTAGGTACTTAGTAGGTATTTGGGCCCCCAAATTTCTACTATACTAGTATTTGGACCCTTTGGG